GATTCCTCAGCACCACATAAGCAAAAAGAAAAAAGCCGGAAGTGGCGCTGTGGCTCAAGTGGTAGAGCGCTAGCCTTGAGCTGAAGAGCTGAGAAACAGTGCCAAGGTCAGAGTTCAGGCCCCACGACCAGACCCCCCCCCCAAAAAAAAAGCTTGAGGGACTAAACACCCACATATTCCAGAGCAATAAAGTATACATGGAGAAATACAATAGAACAAATACATCTCTGAGGAGAAGCTGGGGTGAGATTTTTGGAAACTAAGATTTTTTGTTGTTTTTTGTTTTTTTGCTTACTTTTTATTTTTATTTTATTTAAGTTCCCCCCTCCTCTCCTCTCCCTATTTCCCCTCCCCTTCCCATTCCTTCTTCTCCCCTCATTTCACTCCCTCCTTCCTATCTCCTTCCATCTCTCTACTCTCTCATCCCTTCCTGTCCCCCTCTTCTCTCTCCACCTTCCCTCCTCTTCCCTCTCCCCTCTCCTCACCCTTTCCTTCTCTCTTCTCTCCCCTCCCCACCCCTCCTTTCCCATCTGGAAACTAAGATATTTGAAAGCAGCCAAGTAGATGTGGAAATTGAAAAGAGCATGAGTGAAGACCCAGATAAAACACACAGAAAAGAGATGATAAGGCTTTAAGCTTTCACCTCAGGCTAATGCCCAAGGCTCAGAATACACATTTCTAATTGGCATAATAAAGGTTTTCCCAGACATAAAGCTAGTCTACAAAGACAACTATAGTAGCTATTTTTCCAAATAGACAATATTCAATAAACACAAGGCATAGAAACTGGAGACCTGATCAATTCAAAGGAAGAAAATGAAGTATAGATAGTCTTGGTGGCATATGCCTCTAATGACGTTAGAGCTAATAAATGACTTTAGCAATGTAGCAGGACACAAAATTGACAAGCAAAATGCAATTCATATCTGTATACCAACAGTGTACAAGCCCAAAAATAAATTAGGAAAACAATCCATATATAATACTTTCAAAAGAAATGAAATACTGGGGAATACGCCGAATTAAAGAGGTGAAAGGCCAAGCACTGGTGGCTCATGCCTGTAATCCAATTCAGGAGGCTGAGATCTGAGGACCACAGTTCGAAGCCAGCCCAAGCAGTAAAATTCAAGAGACTTGTTTGTCCAATTAACCACCAAAAAGCCAGAAGCAGAGATGTGGCTCAAATGGTAGAGCACCAGCCTTGAGCAGAAAACTAAGGGAGAGCACCAAGGCCCTGAGTTCAAGACCCTGTAGTGACATTAAAAAAAAAAGGAAGTAGAAGACAAACACTGAAAACTAAAAAATGCTGAAAATAAATATAAATAAATATAAAGGTGCCCCATGCTCACGGACTAGAACAATTAATATTGTTTAGATAGCCATACTCTCTAAAACAATATAGAGAATCAGTGCAATTCCTATCAAAATGACCGTAACAGTTCCCATAAATAGAAAAAAGTATTCAAAACTGGTAAGAATCTCAAATAACCAAAATAATTTTGAATTTGGACATCTTATATTTCTGATTTCAAACTTATTATAAAGCCAAATTAATGAAAACTGTGGACTATGGTAGAAATCCCAGAAATAAACTCTTGCCTTTTTAAAAATGATTTCAGTATTCTTGGGATTCCAAGAATATATTTCAGCAAGTAAGTGTTGAGAAAACTGGATAATCACACATAAGTAATAATAACAACAGCAGCAGCAACAACAAAAACAGCCCTGTAACTTTGAAAATAGCTTTAAACCCTTTAGACTAATCAGTCACTGTACAAAATTGGGAAAGCTGAGTTTCAAGGCTGAAGAAAATAGCAGCCCAAATGATAGAACAGATGCATTAAAGCACAGTGGTCCACAGGACCCATGACAAGTATGGCAAGATTGTCTAGGCATCAGTGACATTACTTACTATGGTCCTGACACTGCTTTAAACACTAGGCAGGTAAATAACTGTCAATAAACCATTGGGAATTTATGCTTACAACTGAGTGTCAGAGATACAGTGGGGAAGAGGAATCCCTTAGGCCCTCTTGAAGGGGCCTAATGCCCCCATCTGGCCTGATGTTTAAGGGAACAGGCCATGGTGTTAACCACCAGGCTCATCACTACTCAATTGCCCACTTCTCTCCAGCTAAAATCTGCTTTATTTTCCTTCCTGCAGCCTGTCTCCTTGGTTAGTATTCTGGTCTCTATAATCAACTTAGGTGTCTAATTACACAGCTATAACTTAATTGGCCCTAGCTGCTGGTTGCTATGGTGATGCAGCCAGGGGCTCTGCTTACTAAGAGGGAACCTGATGTGGGAGGGGACAACATGGGGAGAGGGATGAGGTTAAAATGAAAATACTTTAATAATTCCCCTTGGTGATTGAAATTCCATTTCAAATTCCTGTTACTCTGTCTCTGTGAAATCAGTCTTAATTATAATAACATTCTTTCACTGGAGACTATTCTAAGGTTTCACATACTCAGTACGCATGGTGTTCTCACAGAAAAGCTTTGGAAAAGACATTCAGAGGGATGATGAACGTGATCCTTATTCTTTACAATATATTTTATTAACTATAACCACCATGACTTGCAATAGGTCTTCTGAATTTATCCTTCCTATCTTACTGAAACAACCATGAAAATGTAACAAATATACACAATGGACTACTTTTCAACCATAACAGAAGGAAATTCTGTCATTTGTGACATGAATGAATCTATCTCTTCTTCTGTCCCAGGATTTCAGTGAAGATGTCCATTACATTTAGTTATGACATTTCCTTAAACTTCAACAGTTTCTTAGATTTTCCTTGTTTATGATGATCTTAAGAGTTTAGAAAATTCCTTGCCATGTGTTTTGTAGATTGCCTCTCAAGTCATTGTGTGTTTGTGTGTGTGTGTGTGTGTGTGTGTGTGTGTGTGCTGGTCTTGGGCTTGAACTCAGGGTCTGGGCATGGTCTCTGAGCTTCCTGTCCTCAAGGCTAGCACTCCACCGCTTGAGCCATGGCTCTACTTTTGGCTTTTTAAAACAGTTTATTGGAGGAAAGAGTCTCACGAATGTTCCTGTCCAGACTGGCTTTGAACCTTGATCCTCAAAGCTCAGCCTCCTAAGTAGGTAGGACTGCAGGTGTGAGCCACCAGTGCCCAGTTCCTCAACTAATTTTTTTCTTGAGTATTATTAAGATTATGGATTAGGGATGAAAAGCTACAGAGGTAAAGTGCCATTCTCACTATGTATGACACTATCAATATGATTTAGTGTGTGTTTTGGGGTGGGGTAGCGTGGGTACTAGGGTTTTAATTCAAAGCCTTGTACTTGCTAGGCTGGTGCTCTACCACTTGAGCCATGTTCCCAACCCTTTTTACTGTAGTTATTTTTCTGACTAGGTCTTCTCTTTTTTTCTTTTGCACCAGTCCAGAGGCTTCAATTCAACGCCTGGGTGATGTCCCTGAACTTTTTTGCTCAAGACTAGAACTCTACTACTTGAGCAACACAGATCTACTTCTGTATTTTGGGGGTAGCTAATTGAAAATAAGAGTCGTTTCCCTTATTTGCAATTACTAGTATACATCCAAGACAAGCAGAAACAGTCAGATAAGTTGATGTTAGGCAAAATGAACCCCAAGATAAGGGCTCAAATGTTTTTTCTTTCTTGCAATTGTTTCTAACATATTTATAAGATGATTTCTTTGTTGCTTTGTATGTCCCTCCCCCACGGTATAACCCATTTTCACTGTATTTGATGTTGGCATAATTTATGGAGGGGAAGGGGAAAAAAAAGTCTCACAGATGGACTTTTCTCCTGGGGGGGCTCTGAAGTATGATCACCAGCTCTCAGGTAGGATTACAGGCATGAGCCATGGGCACTTGGCTAAGATCTTCCATTTCTGCCTGTGTCTGGCCTTGAATTTTGATCTACCTAATATCTTTCATGTAAAAGGATTACAGAACTCTAGCCATATCCACTTTATTAAGTGAAGTGTTTTGTTAACATTTCGCCCAGGGTGGCTTTGAACCTCCAACCTTCAGATCTCTGCTACCTGAGTAGCTGAGATTGTTGTCTACCACATCCAGCCACATTTATTCATTCCTGATGTTGACCTTGACCAACTGGATAAGGTAGTGTCTGTTAGCTTCTCCAATATAAAGTAATTCTTTTCCCCTTTTTAACCTATACTCTTTACAAAGAAGTCATTATGTATAGTTCACATTTAAGGAGTTAGGCTTTTCTATTTAATGACTGGCATCTTCATAAATAATTCAGAATAATTCTGCATGGAAGATTTCTCTTTAATTTATATTTTAATTCAATAATTATGGATCCACAATCCGTATGGATCCATAAACACTTATTTTATAATTTAGGCTATCACCCAATACTTACTTTTTGTCTTAAAATTTTTCAGCTTTGGCCATTAGGAATCCTATACCAGTAGTTGAGTCAATCGTTCTTCAAGGAGCTCTTATTCCTTTAAGTAGAGAATGATAGTAGAAAGTAAGATCTGGAGTTGGGAATGTGCTTTAGTGGTAGAGTGCTTGCCTAGCATGCATGAAGCCCTGGGTTCAATTCCTCAATACCACATAAACAGAAAAAGCCAGAAGTGGCATTGTGGTTCAAGTTGTAGAGTGCTAGCCTTGAGCAAAAGAAGCTTGGGGACAGTGCCCAGGCCTGATTTCAAGCCCCAAGACTGGCAAAAAAGGGAGAGAGAGAGAGAGAGAGAGAGAGAGAGAATAAGATCTGATGGCTGGAGGTGCTAATTACCACTGGGACACTGTTACTTCTAGACAAGCTCTTGGCTAATGAAACAAGGAAATATTTATCTGTATACTAACTCCTCTATATAAGAACATATGTAAATACTGCCATATGTTGGCATCTATAGCTATGTTAAGCTAAACATCAATTGATACAGATTCTTCCTGTGTGTGCTAGTATTGGGATTGAATTCAGGGTCTAGGCACTGTCCCTTACATTTTTTGCTCAAGACTGCCACTCTAGCAACAGTTCCACTTCTGGCTTTTTGGTGGTTAATTAGAAATAAGTATGTGCCTGGGCTGGCCTCAAACCACAATCCTCAGATCTCAGTCTCCTGAATAGGATTACAGGAGCAGGCCACCAGCGGGTAATTGACATTTTCTTTATTATTGTTATTTAAATCTAGGCATTAGAATGCAGGGGGCATTTCCCACTAGCAAATAACCATTTAAATTGCATTTAGGGGATTTCAGGATCTGACTACACCTTTTCAGAATCTCAGGCTCTTAAGCCCACACTGTGTTAATGTGGCAGAAACAGACAGGAATAAAACACCAGACAGCAGCTTTTTGTGCAGCATGCTGACTGACTCTTTTTCTTCTCCAGTTCTGGGGCTTGACTTAGAGCCTGGGCACTGTCCCTGTGTTTTTTTGCTCAAGGTTAGTTAGTGCTTTATTATTTTGGGCCACAGTTGCTTCTTCCTTGTTTTTTTTTTTGTTTTTTGTTTTGGGGTGGTGGTGGTGGTGGTGGTGGTGGTAGTGGTTAAGTGAAGGTTAAGAGTGTCACTTTCAGGGGCTGGGAAGGTGGCTCAGTGGTAGAGCGCTTGCTTTGAATGTCTGAGGCCCTGGGTTCGATTCCTCAGCACCACATAAGCAAAAAGAAAAAAAAAGCTGGAAGAGGCGCTGTGGCTCAAGTGGTAGAAAGCTAGCCTTGAGCTAGAGCTGAGGGACAGCACCCAGACCCAGAGTTCAGGCCTCACGACTGGACACCCCCCCCCCCAGATCTCAAAAATCAAACAAACAACAAAAAAAAAGAGTGTCACTTTCCTACCTGGGCTACCTTCAAACTGCAATCCTCAGATCTCAGCCTTCTGAGCAGCTAGGATTATAGGTACCTGGCTAATATTGATTCTATAATAGGCCAGCATAGGGATTGCTTCTTCCTTCCTCTGCTTATCTGTAGTTTCCAAATAAGAAACCCGATTCCTACCAGCTGACATCTACTATTCAATTGTTCAGTCCCATACATGTGCTAACATCTGTATCAATAAGAATGCAGAATTTGTATACAGTTTCTTTTGTCTTTAGTCCCTGATTCTGTTTTTTCATCCTTTTATAGTGTGAGGCTAATTCAGAAACTTTAATACATTGAAATTGTCTGGTTACCTTCTGTATGTCATAATGGGAATCACCCAACTTCCTAAGTGATTTTCAAATTTTACCTGTATAAACATGTACTCCTTGGTATAAAGTTCTAGGGATTCTGACAAAAATATAATATCATATACCCACTATTACAATATAATACAGAACAGTTTCACTAACCTAAAAACTCCTCCGTACTTCACCTTCAGCCATTTTACTGTTGAATTTTATTGTACAGAGCAAGGGCTCAAGCTATGCCTCTAACTCTAGTGTGGCATTTTTTACTGAGGTGTTCCAGCAAGTCTGTTTCTAGTAGCTTCTGCTTTAGGTAAGCAGTATATTTGTGGCTCTGGATTCACCTATCTCCCTCCTCTTTGGAGGTTGTGGTTTGCCCTGTGACATTGATTCTCTAATGAGTCTAAGGAAGTTTCATTTTCCATTTATTCTGATTTCTCTTGAACCAACAGGAATGATGAATTCCAAACTCATTACTTATTAAAAACTGAAACCTAAAACGCTGATTGTTTTCTATGCAATCATATAAAAACAACAGTTCTCCTTTTTGTTTTTCTTTCTGCCTGGTGCAGGGTTTGAACTCACTGCTTTTTGCTCTCACTCAGGTTGTTTGCTCATGGCTGATACTTTATCACTTGAGCCATCTCTCCAGCCCAGCTGTGTGTTGGTTAATTGAAGATGAAGTCTCACAGAATTTTCTGTAAATAGAAATAAAACAATGATTGGATATCAATTTTCATTTACTTTGGAAACAGTTGAAATGATTAAGGTTTTACAGACAAAGGTGTCATTAACATGCTTGAGGGAATACAAATTGGCATTACTCTTTCTTAGGGAAATTTAGCAGCATCTATGGAATGCATAACCAAAAATACCATACTCTGACCCAGCATTTTCTCAAGGAAGAAGAATTACTAAAGAAATCGTTTATCCGGGTGTCAGTGGCTCATGCTTGTAATCCTAGCTACTCAGGAGGCTGAGATCTGAGGATCATGGTTCAAAGCCAGGCCAAGCAGGAAAGTCCGTGAGACTCTTACCCGAGCAGGAAAGTCCATGAGACTCTTACCCCAATAAACTAATCATAAAAAGCTGGAAGTGACGCTGTGGCTCAAGGACAGATCCCAGGCCCTGAATTCAAGTCCCAGGACTGGCACAAAAAAAAAAAAGAAAAATAAATAAATTATTTAGCCAAACATACTAAAGTGAATATACAAAGATATTTGTTATAGCATTGCCAAAATTATCTGTATGACAGGATACTGGTGAAGTAATCATGGTAGCTACATATTCTGAAATACTAGTCATTAAGCATGATGGTAAGGGTGTCTTATTTCTATAAGGGTGTCTGTTTCTACTCACGTCTTACCAGAGGTAATCGTTACTTAGTCTAACACAATCACAGCAATCTTATTCTTTTTCATGGTGATAGATTTGGATTACTCGTTTCTATTTGGGGAAAACTTTTTTCAAATTAATTTCATCATAAGGATTCTCTAAACCTGTTTGTACACTCACTTCAAATGGGCTTTATTATATTTTAATAGATGTAAATATAATGTACTTGATCATATTCACACCCCAGAAAACTTTTTTATCCCCCCTTCCTCTTCACAAATAGTCTTCTACTTTCATGTGCATTAAAAAAAAAAATCCAACTTTCACATATGAAATCTGCACCTTTCCAAGTCTGGCTTACTTTGTTTAATATGATGGAGCTCCAATTTCTTCCATTTTCCTGCAAATGACAATTTTATTTTGACTAAAATTCCATTTTTATATGTACATTTTCTTTACATATTTGTCTGTTGATGGGCATTAGGTTGTTTCTATAACTTGGCTATAGTGAACAATGCTGTGATGAACATGAGTATACAGGTGTCTCTACTGTAAGCTGATTTCAGGAATATAACCAGGAGTAGCACTGTAGGATCTCCTCTTTTGAGGCACCTTCATACTGATTTCCTTCGGAACTGGTCTAATTTATTATTTTACCAACAATGCATGGAAGGATTTCTTGCCATTAAAAATGAACATAGTCTCTCTCTGCCATCTTGGAGCCTGTGAAGGCCTGCTGGGAACAGGACTTATAAAAGGCAAAATGTCTGGAAGGCTATGGTGCAAGGCCATTTCTGCTGGCTAAGCGGGGTCTCCAGAACCAAAGGGAACACACGGTTCTCCTTAAAATTGAAGGCGTTTATGCCCGAGGTGATGCTGATTTCTACTTGGGCAAGAGATGTGCTTATGTATACCAAGCAAAAAACAACACAGTGACTCCTGGCGGCAAAGCTAACAAAGCCAGAGTAATCTGGGAAAGGTAACGCGTGCCCATGGAAACAGTGGCATGGTTCATGCCAAATTCTGAAGAATCCTTCCTGCTAAAGCCATTGGACACAGAATCCGTGTGATGCTGTACCACTCCAGAATTTAAACTAATGAAAATTAAATAAAGTAAATCTGTGCTCTTGTAAAAAAGAAAAATGAACATAGGGCTGGGTGCTGTTGACTCACGCTTGTAATCCTAGTTACTCAGGAGGCTGAGATCTGAGGATCATGATGCAAAGTCAGCCTAGGTAGGAAATTCTGTGAGATTCTTATCTCCATTGAACTATGAAGAAAAAGCCAAGTTGAGCTATGGCTCAAGTGGTAGAACACTAGTTCTGAATAAAATAAGTTTAAGGATAGTGTTCAAAGCCCTGAGGTCAGACTGGCGCGCGCGCGCGCGCACACACACACACACACACACACACACGCACACGCACACGCACACGCATACATACACATACACAAAGAACACAGGGCTGGGTGCTAGTAGCACTTGTAATCCTAGCTACTCAAGAGGCTTAGATCTGAGGATCAGGGTTTAAAGACAGCCCAGGCAGGAAACTCCATGAGACTCTTATCTCCAATTAATTACCCATAAGTAGAAGTAGAGCTGTGGCTCAAGCTGTGGCCTTGAAAAAAATATGGGGCTGGGAAGGTGACTCAGTGGTAGAGTGCTTGCCTTGCATGCCTGAGGCCCTGGGTTCGATTCCTCAGCACCACATAAGCAAAAAGAAAAACGCCGGAAGTGGTGCTGTGGCTCAAGTGGTAGAGCGCTAGCCTTGAACTGAAGAGCTGAGGGACAGCACCCAGGCCCAGAGTTCAGGCCCCACAACCGGACCCCCTTCCCTCATTAAAATCCAATATAACAAGTAGCTAGAAAATACAATTTTCAGAAGAATATATATATATATATATAATACATATATACTTATACATACATGTACGTATGCCTACGTGCACACATACATATGTGTGTATAAACATTCACTACTAGAAACTACAAAACAGTACCATAAAGCAAAACAAATGTCAACATGATATATAAATTCTACTTGGATACTATTTTAAATATCTATGAAAGCTCTGTGCTAGCCAGACAGAAAAAAATGGAAATATTAAAGAATTCCATTTACTCAAACAATGTGATAAAGGTAGATTAGATAAGGTTGTAAAGAATGGCACTAAAATATATTAGAGCTAGACAGGAAGATACTAAATTTTTTTAAGAAGCAAGGAAATCTAAACAAGAAAACAACAATATTAGCAATACTCATAAGAAATGTAAACATGCATGAAAAAATTAAAGTAAATAATGGCTTTTTGATCTCAAGAGAAACTAATCTTTTCTACATAGAGTCTCTTGTGTTTTGGACTAAAGAACAATAGCTGAAGGCAAGGACGGTGGCTCACGCCTGTAATCCAACTACTTAGGAGGCTGAGATCTGAGGATTGCAGTTCAAAGCCAGCCCGAGCAGGAAAGTCCATGAGAATCTTACACCCAATTAACCACCAGAAAACCAGAAGTGGTGCTGTGGCTCAAAGTGGTAGAGCTCTCACCTTGAGCTGCAGAGCTCAGGGACAGCACCCAGGTCGAGTTCAAGCCCCATGACCGACAAAAAAAAAAAAAAGATAGCTGGGACCTGTTGCAACAATGAGAAGTACAAGTTGTCATGTCGAAAACGAGCTTTACAACGTTGGTGGTGGGGGGGGGGAGGCTGGGAAGGGATGTGAAGAGTAAACAAAGGAGGCTGCAATGCTTGGTAAGAAATGTATGCATTATCCTGCCCATGTAATTGTAATCCCTCTGTATAGTATGTTCACAAATAAAATTAAATTAAATTAAAAAAAAAGATAGCTGGGAATGTTGGTGAAGGCCTGTAATTCTAGCACTTAGGTTAGGTAGGAAGATCTCAACATTTGAGGCCAATCAGGGCTGCAAAGTGAGAACCTGTCTCAAAAAAAAAAACACATGACCAGTTGGGTGCTGATGGCTCAGCCTGTAATCCTAGCTACTCAGGAGGCTAAGATTTGAGGATCATGGTTCAAAGCCAGCCCGAGCAGGAAAGTCCATGAGACTCTTAGCTCCAATAAACCACTAGAAACCTGGAAGTGGCACTCTGGCTCAAGTGGTAGAGAGCTCGCCTTGAACTGAAGAGTGCAGGGATGGTGCCCAAGACCAGAGTTCAAGCCCCACAACCAACAAAAATAAAGTAAAATCATATATATATATACATATATATATATATATATGGAAGGGAAAAACTGGGGGAAAGCAAAGGAAGGGGTGACAACATCCAAAAGTGAAATGTATACATTACCTGGATTATGAAATGGCAACCCCTTTGCACAACACCTTAATAAAGACAATAAAATTATATTTTTTTAAAAATGCAGAAAAAAAGTTGTGGAAGAAAAATCAAATAATGAACCCAGCTTACATCAATTTCAAAACTATTTAATAAGCTGGGTGCTGGTAGCTCATGCCTGTATCCTAGCTTCTCGGGAGGCTGAGATCATAGAATTGTCATTAGAAGCCAGCCTAGACAAGAAATTCCATGAGACTCGCCTCTCCAATTAACTACCAAAAACCTAGAAGTGGAGCTGTGGCTCAAATATTAGAGTACCAGTGAAAAAGCTACAGTACAGTAGCAAAGGCCTTGAGTTCAAGCCCCAGGACTGGCAAAAAACAAAAACAAAACAACACAACCCTACACCTTAGCTTGAGATGTAGAATGTGTGGGATTGAGGTCAAAGGTATTAAGAGAATTATTAGTTTTGTTATATACTAGAGTATCTAGGATAATTTAAGACATAAAATTTATACGCCTAAATAAAATAGAATTGATTGGTTACATGGGAAATGTTGCTTGTTTGAAAGGCTTAGAGAAAATAAAACACTATTTTTACTCTATCTATTTCAGATGTATAACAGGATTCTAACAGGATATTTTGATATATATTCACACAGTAAAATGCATACCATATTATATAAAGCTTAAGATATGAATTTAAATTATTAGAATTATGAATAAAGTCAGAAGATAGTCGGGCACCAGTGGCTCCACATCTGTAATCTAATCCTATCTACTCAGGTAGCTCAGACTTGACAATTACAGTTCGAAGCCAGCCTGGGTAGGAAAGTCCCTAAGACTATTATCTTTAATTAATAAGCAAAAAGCCAGAAGTGGAGCTGTGGCTCAAGCCTTGAGCAAAAAAGCTAAGAAACAGAGACCATGCCCTGAGTTCAAGCTCCAGTACTAGCATACATGCACACACACAAACTGACATGAAAATAATATAATAAATTCCACCAAAAACTTTTTAAAATGAAAAGGGAGGAGAGGGAGTTAAGAAACAAAACTGGTTGAATCTTGTT